CTCCTACAAAAGACAAACGAGGAAAAGCATGAAGTACCTTACACAAAAGCACGAGTAATTGTGCTGAGAGTTTGAAGGGAATTACATATTCCATGTGGAATGAAGTTCTGCCCCACTGAGATACAAGCTATTGGAAATAATGACACATCAAGCTAAAGAACAACTTTCCAGATTATAAAACAGTTCCACATTTAATGCCATAACCATTTTGCTTCCTAAATTATGACAAACAGGAGCACATCTAACCATACTTCTATCAGTGATCCTGAAGCACTAAATGGTCCTGCAGTAGTAAAAATTAATCCCTCAGATTTCCTTTCCTTATTGCTTGTCAAGTGCAAATCCAGGCAAGAGTTTACATGAGGATAAAGGGGAAACCCCAACATTCGGCTTCTGCTGACAACCGACAGAACAAGAGAGCCACTCCTTAGGGTGCTGCAAACCCAAAAGAAGAAATCCTAGGTATTGAAATGAAGTGACCGAGTGCTTAAGGGAGCTGCTTTAGCTTGCTGCTAGTCCTTGAGGTCTTTATCATACCATACTACATTTATAAATAAGTTCAAAGTGTCTGTTCAAGCCCATAATTAAAAACCAAAACATCTCCATTCTTAATGCCACTGCCATATAAAAACCCTCACAAAACCAAGCCCCCTCGCATTGCTCCACCACACATTTCTAATAGATACAGTACTTACACACTCCTTCTCCCATTTCATAGTTGTTTCTGCCACCATGCCTTGCAATCGTGCCTCCAACCTACGCTTGTCAGAAGCCTGACGTTGCAATTTCTGGCTCTTGCTTTCTAGTTCTTGCTGAAGATTACGCTTGTCTTCTTCATAGATCGTCGCAGTTTTCTCCAAAATCTCAATCTGGAGGAAGAGAGGAAGGACTTGGCTATGCTTCTTAGAAGTGCAACCATCTAAGTCCAGAACCGCTAGTTATCTTTGATTAACATAGAATAGAACATATTACCTGTTGTACAAATGTACCCAGATAAATAGTCCACATTCCAAAAAGTTTCAGAGATTTTACAACTTTCTTATAAGTTGCCCATCTTAATGTAAAAGAAAAGCCTCACCTCATAAGAAAGCCAAAGAGCTAAAAGTGTTCAGTAAAGTTCCCCACAAAATACTTTTAATCTTGTTTCTAATATCCATCTTTCAAGCAACTTCTGTGTTCCATTTGGCAAGCTTCTTGACGTCAGAAAATGCATTTTGTGCTCAGCTTTAGACAATGAAAAAAACTGACCTTGTATTCCAAAGTTTTAATTTTCTTTTCCAGGCGTTCTAGCTCCATTTTCTGTCCTGTTATTGTTTTCTCTTTTTCAGACAGTTTTCCTTGAATATAGTTTTCCTTGGATACAACACTGGAGTCAAATTCTTGCAGCATTGTTTTAAATGCAAGCACTGCAAGACAACCAATATATTTTATCGTCTCACCCTATCTCCATAATATCAAAAGCAGTTCTGTTTTTCTCCTACCAATTTAACACTACCAGCTCTTTCATTACCTCAAAACAGGTTTAAATGATCAATCTAGACAAGATACGTATTTGATCTTGGTACAGAAGAAAGCCCTTGAGTAGTAGCACGGGTGCCAAAAATCTAGCTCCGCACTGATGTTCAAATTCTTACCGTTTTTGGCAAACTCCTCTGACAACATTTGTCGTAGTTTATGGCGTTTTTCCAGGACTTCAATAAGCTTTGGAAGTGTTTGATCATCATTAACGTCCAATAGCTCACACGAAGGCAATGGAGGAAAGTTCTGCAAAAACATTTCTGAAACAGATTGCTCTTCCCTTTCTGTAAGATTTAAAGACAAAAAAGCCTGTCAGCGAGCTACAGAACAGAAATATTCCATTTGACAACGCAGAGCCACAGATCATTCATTCCACAGTATCACGCAGCAGACAGAACTTAGAATAATTAATGAGAACTAGAAGTTTTCAGAAGAGATGACAGTGTTGAGATTAAGTGTGACAACCTTGATTCATTGCTTTACAATACCTCCAGGCAACTCTCGATTTCTAAAGTAGGCCTTAAGCATACAAAAATATCAAAGTATCATCTGCAGCACAATTTCCTTTCAGGAGCTGCAATAAGGGGACCACGAATTCAACTCATCAATAACGAGTAACAGTTAAGTGAAATTCCTTTTGCACTTGCAAGGCTTAAATAATTTGTTTTAAAATAGCCTTCAACTCCTAACAAAAAAAACCAACCCTGCGCTGTAATCACCTAGCACTCTAGTATTTACCTCCGTTTATCGGGCCACCCCGCATCTCCAATTTCCGTGAGAGCTCCTCTCGGAAGGCCTGATTCCTAAAGCGCCGTCCTGGCGTTAAGCCGCAGAGCGGTCTATCCACAGGTCTGGCCACTTCAACTTCCTGGGTCATTTCTGCAAAGCGCATGACTTGCTACAAAAGAACAAAAGCAAGCTTAGCAACAAAACTAACCGGAAGCAGTCCAATGCAAGTTTGAAAGTGTTATTTTATGTCAATAGAAGTATTACAGGAGACATTATCAACCGATAATCTCAAAGAGTTCCCAACTAGATAGCTTGTGATCCTGAAGCGGAGTATCCAGAAGCCTTCCCAGTAACACCACCCAACATTAGCCCCCAGGAACCATGAAACCAACTGTGCTGAGAGCTGAAGTTTTTGCAAGTACGGTCACAGTAGGGATGAAGCACCTAGATGTGGTTATTTGGACTTCTGTAAGTAGAGAAGCCTTGCCTATTTTACAGGCAAGTAGCAGTTGTGCCCTCCACATCTTATTTTTCCTCTTAAAAATTACATTTGCCCTACAATATTGTATTTGATTACCTGAAGTGCCCAAGCCACAAAAATTATCATTCCTCTCATCTACTAAAGAAGTAGAAGAATTCAGTGACAAACTTGGGGGAAAAAAAAAGAAAAAATATTAGGGGGAAATGAGGTAAGATCTGCAAGAAGTTACCAAGCTTTCCTCGTAGTCCTCGGCTTTAGGATTAACGCACACAATCATACGCACTTTTCCTTCACCGTCGAAATAGTTCTTGAAAAGATGAGTCAGTTTGGAATCTCTGTATGGAACCATCTTAAAATAAAGTACATGAAATATCTAGTAAGCTTTCATTACACCAGATCTTCATCAAACCAAATTATAATTAGATAATGGGTTACATACCTTATTTGTTCCATACATCTGGTTTTCCCGTAGAACTTCAATACATGTTCTTAACGTCATTAGCGACTGATTAATATTACCTTAAAAAAAAAAAACCAAAAGACAAAAAACCTGTAAGCAACTATTTGGATCACATTCCCAAATTATTTAGCAGTTCACTTAAGAACAAATTGCCCGGACATAAGTTATATTTGTTACAGCTAACTGCTCTAATGAACAGAAAGAATCAGAGTTAAGTGCTACTAAAAACTTGTGGTTTACCACACTGGAGAATTTAAGGTCAGCAAATCAGACAACTGAACATCATAACAGAACACTTCAATTCTTCCTATGATGTCTTTACTAGGAGACAAGACTACTACGAGCATATACGAGCACATAAAATCACCAGGCTGTCTAAGGGTGCTACATACCTGCTTCTCGCAACCTGTTCCCTTCAGCCTTTGTTCTGTTAGTTCTTTCGCTTCCAGCCAGATCAACCAAGGACAGCTGGCTTAAAGTGATCTGCTCTTTCTCCTATTACAGAAAACAAATTACATTAGGCTAATGATTAGCGCTATATTCCTTCTAACGCGGTGGAACATCCCGCCCCCCAAACCTAAACCAGCATGCACACTTTAAAATAACGTGTTGTGCCTTTAAATAAAGTCTGAGGGTGTTTTTATAGCACTTAATGCAAGAAGCTGTGCACCACTAGCTTTTCTTGTGAATAAGTTTAGCAGATCCCTTCTGTCTTGGGCCACAAGTTGTGGATAACAATTTGTTATCCACAAGTTGCATGTAACAATTGCACTCATTCAAATCCTCCAAACTTAACAGTTTTTGCTCAAAAGAAGCAGAGGTAAAAACCAAAGGAATAAGCAGCCTCACTCTGTTTTAATGCCCAACTTTCATTACAAAAAGGTGACTAATTCTGTTCAAAGACTCGAAATTTGGTCATTTTGATTTCCTTCAAAATGAAATTGCTGACTAGCAAGACGTGTAGACTCAAGACACAGTAACTGCATCGGCAAGCCATGCTGCAAGGCTCACCACCTCTCCTACCACACCTCCAAGCATATACACACACACACACAGAGTTCTCCTTTAACAGCCTGCCCCAGTACTCACCTGTAGCACGTTATCTCCATCTGCATCCAGGGGTGCCTGAGCCAACTTTATTATAAAAACACTGTGAGAGCGACTAGATTCTCGATTCAGCTGAGTGTTTGCAATACGCCTCTTCTTTTGACCTGTTTAGAAGAAAAACAATCCCTCTAAACCCCTGTTTTATTTAACAGACTTGCCACATGACAAAACCAATTCTATTTTCAGCATGGTAGTGTAGAGGATTACACATCCATATTGAATTTAAGAAGTTAAAATATAAGATTTACCTCTCCAAAACACTTCAAAAGCTTCTTCTGTAGATTTCACCTCTACTTCTGTGCATCCTGTGACATACATGTTGTGATTCTGGTCCTCACGAAGTATTTTGGATTGTGGAGGTCTTAAGGACAGGGAGGAAATAGAACAACAAAAAAAGAAACGCTAAAATTGAGTGGATGTTTATGCACAACAATACATTGTGTCATGCAAATTTTCTTTTGTTTAAGTACAAAATTCAGACTGAATTTGTCAATTATCCATACAGCAGATGGAAGAGGTAGTACAAGTACATGGACACACATTCAGCCAAGATTAGTTACACTTCAGCTACTGCTTTAATTTATGAGCTACATTTAATTGCAATTCTTACTGGAAATCATGGGTTTGGATGGCAGCTATTGTTTTTCTACATGCATACACTCATACAGAAGCAAGATGGCTTCAACAGCGTTCTATATTCGCTAATAAAGCAAAAAGAGATAGGGAGTCAGTCTGATTTTATTTTCTGCTTCTACTAAAAGAAAATTTTGCTTTTCAATACTTGGAATAATATGCTTATGCACATACATAAAGTCACCATTTCGCACAGGAGTGTTGCAATTGTTCCACCTACCAAAAAAACAGGGTTAAAAAAATATTAAGTCATTCAGCTTGTGTCTAAAATCTTTTTATATATAACACACTGTAGCTTCCATAAACAGAAATAACCCAAGATTCTTCGTAGGCTGATTTTTGGACATAAGCACAATACTAAACCAAATAATTCTACTCTTCTTTAAAAAGCATTCACAGACATTCGAACCCTTTTCAAACCAGTACCCTGGAGCAGCTCTTGATGCTTCAGAGCAATGGCTCGTTTTGCTCTAGTTAGTCTTTGTAAATCAGCCAACTCTTTACTTAACACATGTACCAAGGGATGTGTAGGGTTTTCTTTAATGCATTTAGAATTTTAAAAAAACAACATATGCAAAGTTTAATTTGCAGACTTTTCCTGAAGGTCCTAAGACTTATCAGTTTTAGCAATCAGCCACATACACACCTTTCCAAAGAACACCCAGAACTTCATTTATGAGACTATTCATTTCTGTTTCTATGGAAATGATTGGCATCCAGTGAAATAATATGTAAACTTGCATTAACAGTAAAGCAACAACAAAATAGCAACTTTCTCCCAATACACTGTTTCCCGTGAAAAAAATAAGTGTCAGCTATGGAATGGCTTACTCGCCCAGTTGCAGCAGTCGCCTGCTAGGAATAGCATGAATAGACTTGGAATCTCAGTGGGATACAACACACTGCCTAACTAATTAAATATTTGCTTATTAATCTCCCATTACAATGAGGAAGGGAGCATCAAAAGGCTTAGAAGCAACAGAACAACCATCAGTACTTGGCACACTTAAGAACTATCATCTGGAGTCCTTGGCCATCCCCTTTTTTACATGATTTTTTAAGGGACTCCCATGAATTGAGCCAGACTCGCTACATCTACAGCTCCAAAGACATATTGTAGCTCCCACAAAAGCATAACCGAAATAGGAGTAATGATATTCATAAAACTAACTTTGGTTTTATAGCATCAAAGGGAGTTTCCTCCAAGAGGTCATATATGTAGTTGTTGTAGATCTCAATATAGGAGACAAAGACACTGTAGACATTATCTTCATCAACTTCTTCCACTTTGCAGTGATCTTGCACATTGATCATATCAGCAAATTCTGGATCTATTTGTCGCCTGTTGAACACACACAACAAATGATTGTAACAGAGCACCCACAGCCAGCTAACGTGTCAGACGACGACTATACAGTTAAAAAGCAAGTCTACTGACAGACAGCATGATTTGAGTACGGAACCGCTCACGCTATCAATTAATGACAACACATCCAGTCACATTATATTAAAACAAGCACTCTGAAAAGTAGATAAACTTTCATCTGACACCGCTGTTCTCAGCTGCAGCAAGAAATGCCTTGCAAAATTCCTGGATAGTCAACAATCCTACCTTCCATTCAGCAATCTCACTATTTTGCTAAATATCCCCAAGTTTAACTTCACAGTAGTCCTACTCAGTGAAGTCACAGCATTTTACTCGTGGGTTAACAGGTACAAAAAATAGACTTCTGTTGCCTGATTCTCAGTCTTCTAATCTAAATAATTAATTATGCAATTGCTCAAACCACATGAAAATATCCTAGCTTTCCATTAATATTTTCCTTCCTTTTTTCAAGGGAAGGATAAGGAGACCAAGGTAAGTTAAAACCACAATTTCAGAATAACATTTACATTAACTAAATTCATCCTGCATGTTACAATAGGTACTTACTTGCCAGATGGAGTTTTTGGAACAGGCATGGCATCTCTTTTCTGGCGCTCTAATAGAGCATCTACTTCACACTGAACATCCACACCATTCTTGTCATCGAGCTTAAAAACCTGAGTAGTGAATATGTTTAGACAATATGATGACAAACACTAGAGAACATAAGATGAAGGCCAGCAAAACAAATTATGTGATCAAGCTGTCTAGCAACCAGCAAATACCATGCCCCTCACTAACACTCGATCTGCTGGCTAATGCAAAGCAGATCTGACAGAAAACAGATATTTCCCAGATAACAGTATTTCACAAAAGGTCCCAAGCTAGCATGCTACCAAGGAAAAGACTTCCAGTATTATTGCAAATATAGTTAGATACCAAAAATCCAGAGACGTCTGACCACAAGAAAAGCCTCACATCATGCCTGATATTCTTTTAGTTATGGTTTCCTGTGGCTTTTGCATCTTGTGGTGAGATTTCATTCCATAACTCGGAAAGCTTCCTCTTTCCTTTTTTATTGTTTTAAAAAAGTTAATTAAAGAATGACCGATAATTATAAGGATGGCCAGACCATACATCTTCATGAAATGTCCCTCCTAGGTACCACACCTGCTTCCTTGGCCCTGCTCTTCAGATCTCATGGGAGAGGGGTTTTCTTGGTTGGTTTTCTTATTAAAGCGCTCCAGCCATGTGATCGGACAGGAGATAAACACTTAGAACATTTTATTTAGTGTTTTTAGGCTGTTACAAGCAATAGCGTGGAGAATTCAGTGCAAAACTACTCACAAATCGCTTGGCCTGGAACGGTCCTATGCTGTTGAAGATCATATCCAAACAGCGCGGGAGAAGCCCTCCATCACCAGGAGATCCTGTCATGGTGTGCGTTTTCCCACTGCCTGTCACACCATATGTAAACAGGAGACCTAGGAGGGACAGGAAAATGGTGTAATCACGCTTGCTGTTGCAAAAAAGAAGTTGTTAGAATCACACGTCCTGTCTTTCTCGGGTCAAATGTATTTGGAAGAAACAATGACTCGAACAGTTAACAGTAAGTTATTGCAGCCCAGCAAAAGCCACTGTCATCGGTAGTGTTTGCATCGCTCACTGACAGCCACTTCAGCTCTCTGGGGAGAGCACATTTGGAAGCCAAAACAGAAGGAAGCCACTAAGTCCTAGGTGTAGAGGCCCGATTTGTTACCGCAGTTACCAAGGGGTCTGACATAAGCCAGATACTTCAAGGACCAACACTGCGATATAAAGCCATGCCCAGGAGCTCAAGCCGTACAAATTGATTTATTTCTGTAGTCATTCTTTAGGTGGAAAAGTCATCCTATTCTGCAGAAAAATGCTTCTCCAGTTAATGGGGTACAAAAAGATTAGACCTTGACACATGTAACATGCACATCATAACAAAGGTAAAGAGGTTTCAAAGTAATGAAAGGCACGAAGAGCTTCCAAGGATGTTGTCTAGAGGAGCTATTCTTGTTGCAAACAAGGTACGCGTGTTTTTACCTTGACAAGCTAAGAAACCTTGAGACATATGAACTCATAGCAATACAGGAAACTGCATGGTAGACATACAGAAAAGCGGTAGAGAACAAATACTTGCTCACCATTTTTCCCACGAATGAGATCTTCCACTAGAGGTTTAGCCACCACATCAAAAAGCTTCTTCTGGACAACGAGGGTGCCAAACACTTCTTTAAATGAATACTGCGTCTGAAGAAAAGACGATACGCCATCCTAAACCTTATGTTTCCCTGTCTAGAAGTCCATTGCTTCAAAGCGCTTCATTGTTTCATACCTTAGAACTGCTTTCCATCAGGTACCAGAATGATAAAGATTCTACTTTAGGATTATACCAGTGTTTGAACATGGGCAGTTGCTCCAATGTAGCTATTCTGAGAACAAGGCGTGCATGAGGAGGACAGCAACTGTTTCATTTTCACAGAGCTTAAGTCCAGAAACAACCAGAAGGATCACAAAGCCTGACCTCCCAGCAACTGGAGGGTCTCGCAATTTACAGCTTCAAGCTCCAATTTCTGTTTGAGCTCCCATGGTCATCTACGCAAGACCTGAGCAAAGGAGCACCCACAATGGCCAAAGTTGACTTGTTCTGGCGTTTAATCATTTTTGGTTTAAGTTTGTGTCTTTTTGCAGTCTAGCCTCTGTTTCCAGTCATAGCTTTTCAATATACTGGTTTTTTTGAATGAACCTGGTCACTTTTCAATCAAAACATCTGCTTACATAAGCATTTCAATTTTACGGTTTTTTAGCGAGGCTTGTTTACCAATTTTTTAATTAATCTTTGCCTATTTTATTTAAGCCTTTGAAGATTCCTTTATGTACTTCCTGTCAGAATTTCCCACGCTGAAAACAGAAACAAAGTATTCTACATCACAACTAATGTTCTTTCTTAATTTTTTTTTCTTCGAAACACTATGACCTTCTTATTTAGAGTTAGGGCACTGTGTTGGGAACCTGCAGTTGACTGTTTCACTACCAAACCACGATCAGTGCTACAGTACTCTGGCTCCTCATTCTCTACGCATGACCTACGCCCTCCTGCTCTAGGTGTATCGATCAAATAACAACATGAACGGTTTTGTGACCTGCTACCCACCTTTCCACACTTTGTGATGTTTCACCACTTTGTAGAGATAACCTACAGCTTCCCCCCCCCCACATTACATAAATAGGGAAATACTGCTTCTTGCCCAACTTAAATTTGAGATAAATCAACTGTTAATTTGTGTTCGGTTTAGCTGAGAGCCGGTTTCTTTCAATTAGTCCTACATGAAGTAGTCCTTCAAGCTAAATATCGGCCAGCTTTGCTTTTACTCCTCTCCTCCACCCTGCAGAAGCGGTGTTCTCATACATGGAGGCCATTTGATGGCTAAGGCAATTCTGCATTTTTTTGCTCTAGGTAGTTTTCCCGTTGCGAACAGCTCGCCAGCTCTCCAGGGCACTGCTCAATTGCAGAGACCCCGCAAGCCAG